GGCTCATATACTAGTACTGGCATTTAGTATTAAGAGGATTCTTGTAGAGTTAGACATAATTTCACAACATTTAATTTTTCTTTGCTTATCTAAGAGGACAATCTGTCTTTGTCATTGATACTGTATATTCAACTCTGTCTCTGTGTCTCCTTCACTCTTTCTCTATATCTCTATCTCCTTCTCTGTCTCTATCTCTCTCGCTTCCTTTCCCACTCCCATGTCCCATTTTCCCTTTCTCACCCTCACTCTTCCCCCTGCCAATGAACTACTTCCCACCTCAACTGGAGCATGCTATATACCTACTAGGCTTGAGTCGGTACGGTCGATCACACCGGGACCCGACCGTTGCCGTCGGGTCCCGGTTTCGTTTTTTGAGAACCGACGCTCCGAAAAAAATAACGAAATATGTAAGAAATTGCAGTTTTGCACACCACTAAAATCAATCCACCTTAAAACTTAAGTATTTAATTGTTACCAATCATATTCTAGCACATCCTAAATCAATCCGAACTGCTGATATAAATATATGTGTTGCAACTTGCAAGGCAGTTCGCCCCATGGGGTTGTTGTTGCCAGCTGCTAGCTAGCTACTGTACTGGCCGGGTCTCTCGGCAGGATTAATAAATCAGGTTGAAAGAAACATTAATGTTTGAATAATAAAACAGCTTTCTAAAAAGTACTTCTTTACAACATACCGATCGAATAATTTTTAAAAGACAAAATAGATATTTTTTCTTTGATTTTGAACACCGCATGCTTCTTTTAAAAGCTGAAAATTACTTGGTAATCACAAGAAGTTTCGATACCGATAGCTGTTGCAAGGCAAGTTCAGACTAGTCTCGGAAAAATGCGCAGTGCTCCTCGTTAGCTGTAATGCGTGCCAGAACGAACCCAAACAAAGACATGATCGTAACGAGAAAAAAATCATTAAAAACTACGAGAGCACAATTGGAAAAACAACTACTCAAAATTATCGTAAGCAGATACATAACTTGGAGGAATAAAACAATAGTTGTCCAAGGAAAGCCACATAAATAGTGATATTTAAGGAGTTACTATAGGTGCAATCATTATCGGAAGGGCCTGCTGCAATATCCGAATTACACTTGTTTAAATTGAACACGAGGCTATACGAGGCAAATAACGCCCTCTACGGTAAAAAGCAGTATAACAAAGGATTCGAGTATTTGCAGCAGGCCCCTTGCGATAAAAATGTACCCAGTTACTCCTCGATTATCACAATTTCTGAGGCATCTCTTGGGCGATTATTGAATTCATTGTCCAAGTTATCTATCTGATTATGGAAATTTTGAGCAGTAGTTGTATTTCCAATTGTGCTCTCGTAGTTTTTAATGATTTTTTTTTCTCGTTACGATCACGTCTTTGTTTGGGTTCGTTCTGGCACGCATTACAGCTAATTACGATCAGGAGCACTGCGCATTTTTCCGATACTAGTCTGAACTTGCCTTGCAACAGCTATCCGTATCGAAACTCTTGATTACCAAGTAATTTTCAGCTTTTAAAAAAAGCATGCGATGTTTAAAATAAGAGATAAATATTTATGTTGTCTTTAAAATATTATATGATCGGTATATTGTACAGAAGAAATTTTTAGAAAGCCGTTTTATTATTCTAACATTCATATTTTTTGACCAGATTTATTCAACCTGCATAAATCAAAATGGCGGCTCGAATGCTGTCTTTCTATTTCTGCCCCAGTTTTTTTTACTTTTAGAGGCACGAAAATGGCACTAAACATCGCCAATCATGGATAAAAAATAATGTCAAATGGAAGAATATACCGATCTGAGCAGAGGTATGCATGTGTTGATTTATTTAATTGATAAAAAAAGGTCACTTTTAAGGGACATACTGATGATATGCGCTTTTTATAGAGGCAAGTGGCAAATCCTGCGAGCTGATTTCGGGACACCGGGTCCCGATCGGTACAAGGCCGTCGGGACCCGGTTTATGAAAATCCCGACATGACTCAGGCCTAATACCTACTATGTTTTTCCAAGAAAAAATGGTTGTAACATGCATAATACAGGAGGAAATTCTGTCATGATTGCCAAGCCAATTTCCCGAAGGAGAATTAAAAAGTCCAGAATGAAATAAACATGGCTCATATACTAGGATATTGAATTAAAGGGATTTACGTACAATTAGAAAAAATATTTTAAAAATTGAATTTTCCTTTGCTGATCTAAGAGGACTTGTTATCTTTCTTCTCCTCTCCATATCAAAGATCTATATATAATTTGATGACATGCTTTGATGAGATGCTCTGGGATATGTCATTTTCCAGAGACATCTTAAGTAAACTTGAGTTCAGCTTTAGATTAAGGTTAGCATTAGGATTAGGTATAGTATATTTGGGTCTATGGGTTGTATATAGGACTTTAAATACTATGGGACCAGAAACTTTTGTGAATCATAAATAGCAGCCGTTTTTCCAGCAAATTGAAAAGTATTAGCACTGTGATTTTGTGGCCTACTGCCCCCAAAATTTCACAGAAGTAATAGAAGAAATTGAGTCAGAGCAACCTGTCTGTTGATAGTCAGAAGGGAATTAAGTTATATCCATTTTAAAACAATTAATGCCATTCTGGCCCTCATCAAACTAAAATGTTGTACAATTCTCCCTTCATCAAGTCAATGGCCCATATTCTTGAGAGCAGCCTGGATTCATGGTCCAATGATTTATGGAAGGCCAACAGTTAAACTTCTAAGTTCTGTATGAAGTACTGTAATCAAGTAACAAAACAGAGAAACACATTTTACCTGGTAGTCATGAAATGAAAAGGAGAAATATATTTCATACAGAAAAAAAATTGTTGATATTTTCATTTAGTTCCAGAGTTATGGTGATTTGTACAGGTTTAAGAAGTTGACATTTGGCGACTCCACAAAATCAGTGGACTAACTCCACGCACTTGGGCAGACTTTAAGCCTTGCTTGCAGTTTGAGGGGGACTTTTTCGAGGACACGGGCCATTGACCTTTATGGTAGATGTATTTTTCTTCTGGGAGCCATCTTCATCGAGAGGGAGTGGAGACTGCAGTCGCATACTGATAGGGTATAATTGACAGCACAGACACAGCGGAATACATCCATAATGAAAGTAAATTTGCCTTTCCTGGAGGAGGGGTGCTGCCACACTGCTGTCTCTGTGTCGGTTTGTCTCCCAAACTCCCTTACCTCCATTCTCTCTCTGTCTCTCTCTTTATCTTTCTCTCTCTTTCTCTCTCTGTCTTTATCTTCCTCCCATCCATCCCCCTTTCACTCTGTATCTGTCTTTCTCTGTCTGACTCTCTCTCTCTCTCTCTCTCTCTCTCCTTTCAATGTATGTCTCTGTTTATTTGACTCAGTATTTGTGTCCTCGTCATTCTGTTTCTCTTTCTATCCCTTTGTGTTATCTATCTCTGTATCTCTCTCTCTCTCTCTCTCTCTTTTAATCTCAATCCCCTCTATTTCTCTCTCTCTCTCTCTCTCTCTCTCTCTCTCTCTCACTCTCTATCTTTATCAATCTCAATCTCAATCTCAATCTCCTCTATCTATGACGCTTTCTTTATCCCTGCCTCTGTTCCATGAGTCAATGACCTTAAAGACAGTCTGGCAGCAATTTTTCTAGCATTACTTTTTCCAAGAAATAGTGCTAACCGAAAGAAAATATGTAAGTTGATTTCAGTCAAAGATGATCATCTCTTTCACATCTAATGGATGTAAAGTATATTAATATTTTTGAGAATAAAAATATCAAAGACCACATCTAGAAAAAGCAAGATTTGCCTTGTCAGATATCATAAACTATCAAGAAGGCCACTGAACCATTTTGGGACTTTGAATCTGTTTCTGAGCTCTTGGCTCATGAGTATATTTTTTGTTTGGGAGGGGGGGGGGGGCACAAATTCAAAGCTAATATTGGATACAAGGGCTTTATTATGAGCAAAAGTAATAATTCCTCCTGCTCTCCAAAATATATATCTCTCGTCATATACTCTTTCATTATCTTTCTGTCGTATTCCTTATGATTTCATTCAACTGTTTTATAGATAAAGGTCTAAACATATTCATTTCTTCTACTTTCGTAGACTGACTAAGCTGGTTATCTCACGAGGGAGCATAAAAGCCTGTTCACATTTGCTGGGATAAGCCGCTGCAGTTTTCTTGCACTAAATAAATGGAAGTGGGGATGTACAAAAGTAGCTGCGCACAAGATAGATCCTATGCATACTCAATTACCTGTAAGTAATAAGATGTAGACATTCAAAGTGCAAAGTGCAGTACCTTAAAAAACTTGCGGTTCACTACTGCAGTTTACTATGTCTTAAAGCTCCACTGCACTACTTATAGCTACTTGCGCCCTCTATAAAGCAAACAATGCCTAATCTGTGACCGTTGGTCCCCCATGGTTCCCTTTTTCTTATATTAAAGATGAAGTTGAGTTCTGGTCATGCGATTGCATTGTGAAAGAAACGGTGTGGAATTGACTAAAAAGGTTGATCATCTAGCATATAAGAATTTGTGTGTATTGCAAGGTTCTAGAATCATCAAAATGATAAGAAATTTGGCCAAGTCTTGGTAAAGTTACAAACACTGTACACAGAAAGATGTATATGGGACTACACGAACACGTGGTGTAAAAATCCTACCCCCCGAGTTTTACGATGTTACTGAAATATTTCGAATATAAAGGCATTTGAAGAGCCATGTTTTTCAGGGAACATGTCTTATCTGATGATCTTCCACACTTGCATAATAAGAATTATTACGCTCACAAATTATTTTTCACCTCTTCCCAGAACTCAACCTTCTCTTTAATTGAAAGCTGATTTGATGAGATAACCACCTGTCAGTGACCATGCAGGGAGGTCTAATCTCTCTTGGCCAAACTAGTGCAGATAGGATTTAAAAGAACAAGCCTTGGGACTGTAGGCTTGTATTTCTCAAAAAGTCATTTGGGTTATTATAGACCCTTACAGATGATGAGGACTTACCCTAAAGACCCTTGCATCGGCCGTCTTGGGGATGTCTGCAGGTGAGTCGGCCGGGACGAGGGACGTGAACTCCTCGGCAAAGTTGCTGGTGTCTAGCTCCCCGTTGATGTGAGGTCTGAAGGGCGGAGATACTCTCTTAGCAGCCACATCATCCCAGTTCAGCCCCTGTGTTAAGAAACCAACGAGATACAGGTTAAAGGGATCCGGTAACTTTGTCTCAGATTCTGAAAAAAATCCTGGATTCAGCTCATGCCGCAATGATAATTATAAACCTTTAGGTCAGTCAAGAACCCCAAGCCGATCGCCTGTCTGATTATCAAGATATTTATGATTGGAAATCGAAACCAAATTTTGTGTTTGCCTAACGGTTTTCATAACACTACAGTCTATTGGGGAAAACGAGTATGGTAAAACCCGGCACTCAAAGACTTTTACTTTTTTGAGGCACTTCTTGATCATTTTGAAGCGCAATTTTTTAGGGTTTCAATAATACACCATATCACATACACTGATAACACGTAGGGCCGTGCATCTCAGATTTAACATTGTTAAACGATCCCTTTAAAGGTTACGCTGAACTGTCAATAAAGTTATCACACATAGCATAGCAGGAGTGGCTTTCTGAAAACTGTGCTATCTTCTAGGTATGATGATACCAGACCAAATCTGAAGCAGAAAAGTCACTGGTCGAAATATGTGCAAAGCTGGCTGCAAACAAGAGGGACACCCGAGCATGCACAATAATAAATGTTCACTCCATGCCATTTCAATTTGTTATGACAACTATTAGATACGTTTCATTTAAATAAAAGCTAAGATAACACATAACCACGAGCAAGGACTCCCTCTCTAGGAACCTCCAGTCGTTGTATTTTGCACATTAAAGGTAAGATAGCTCATGGTGTGAAACGTCTAGTGCGTCTGCACGGCCTTTAATTACAAGATATCTAAAAGTTTAAAAACAAGAGTTAAATTTAAGTTCATGGACTCTTGTGTCAACACAGCTAACATATTTCATCACCTGTAGCCTATAAGTGTTTTCTTTTCCTTTAAAGTAAAATAACTGACCTTGAAGAAAGAATGAGATTTGACATGAAACTATGAGTACACGCCAAGATTTCAAACAACTTGTGCATCAGTATGGCCCTTAAGTACAAGATAATCTTAAAGTTTAAAACCAAGAGTTAAACTAAAGTTCACAGACTCTCATTGTCAACACAGCTAATATATTTACCCATTACTATGGCACATATGGCCTTTAAGCTTGCTTTTCTTTTGTCTTTCTTTTTTTTTTTTTAAGAAAAAAGATAAACTTACCTTGAAGAAAGAATGAGATTTGATGTCTTTCACCCCATTGCATCCAAGTCTCTTGGTTGGGTCCTTGACAAGTAACTTGTTGATAAAATCTTTGACCTCTTTGGAAAATGTATTTGGCATTGGAGGGTGGCTGGTTAAGATTCGTCTGTGATAAATTTAAGATAGAGAAGAATGGTAAGGTTGAATAGACTTGGAAAATTGGTTATCTGTAAGAGTACACAAAATCAAACTTGAGACATATCAAAATGTGAACAGATAAACTTTGAGTAATAATGTCGGCTATCTGTAAAAGTACACAAAATCAAACCTGAGACATATCAGAACATGAGCAGATAAAGTTTAAGTAATAATGTCGATGACCTGTCATATTTACAATGTAATGTACTTTTCCATCATGATTCCACCAGATGAAATGTAATTAAGCAAAGAATAAGAAGAACACCTTCACCAAGCAAGCTACATATTGCAATGGAATCTCTGCTTTGCAAAAACAAAAACAAAGGGTAATACAAATAATTTCATCAGTGTTTCTTTGACTACAACATAATACCAAGAGCTTGTTTTTCCAAGCACAAACAAATCTTTTAATCTACCACTGAGAAGATCGTATCCATTTAAGACTTTTGTTCATAAACCAAGGTGTATGTGCGATAGCTTGTACACTTACATTTCTAAAAATGAACACAAAATACTTAACGAGATTGTGATTTACATGTGTATCGCACGTTAATACCATGCTTTATATCGGAGTGTAGAATGAGGTCGTCGGGCAGTTAACGACATTTACATATGTCCTACCAAGTGTCTTTTCCTCGTCCCTTCCTTTTCCCCGTGCAATATCCTGTCTCTTCCTTCAAGTGGAAAGAGAAACCTTCTTCATATTTTACAATAAAAGCAATCTATCTCTCTAATATATCTCAGTCACACCGCAAAATTGACCGATACTTGGCCATTTGGGAACCTTTGTGGTCAGTCTGGTGTAGGTCTCACTGATGTGACCGGGGTATCATTAAGGGAAACATAAAAATCATTTTACAATATCGATAAGACCCCGATGCTCGGTGACTCCACACTCTACTTCAGATCTGACAGGGCTACTTACTGTACATGTTAAAATATAATCGTAGACCTCACAATCTACATCAGATGTGAACATGGCCAGAGCTATTCAGAAACACGCTCAGTGACCTAACAGTCTAGATCATGGCCAGCACGATACAGAAATAGGCTCAGTGATGGTCCACATCACATTCATGACCTTGAGTGACCTCACATTCTACATGAAACGTTTAGACCTCAGTCTACATCAAATGAGAACATAAATCAAGACCTATTAATAGATATTCTCACTGCTCAGTGACCTATAGTTACAGTCTACATCACATGTGAACACAACCAAGGCTATTCAGAAATACTATACTCACTAACCTAATACAGTCTACATCAAATGTGAACACAATCAAGGCTATTCAGACATATGCTGTGATCCAGAGTCTAGATATCAATTGTGAACATGGCCCAAGCTACTCATAAAGATATACATTCTTGATGACCCAACACAACGGTCTACATCCAATGTGAACGTGGCGTATTCGGAGGTGATGCAAGGTCACCAGGTGTAGACTGATCACTGACCAGATAACAAGCTCCACCACAAATAGTCTGTTTCCAAACATACTTGTCTTTTTAAAACGGCAAGTCAACACAAGGATTGAACCATTACCAGTACAATATCGTGTTTGCCTATCCTCAGTTTATTTCTATCATTTGCAACATGCGCCCCACCCCCCCAATACAAGGCGTAACTCATCTAAATATTCTGGATTATTTAGTCTAATTGATGTAGTTGGGTGTATGTATTAACTCAAATCCTATTTTTAATGACAAACTTCTGCCTCTCTTCAATACATATTCTTTTTGATAATGTTGGTGGCAGTTCTAGGACAATTTTCCCCTGGAAATTCACCTGGAAAATTACCCCCCCCCCTCCCCCCGATAAAATCACTGCTCAAAATCCCATCCCCCCCCCCCTTCTCCCGAAAATTACCTCCTGAGACAATCCCCCCCCCCCCCCCCCTCGAGAAAAAAAACTCAGCTTTTATTAAAACCAACTTATTATCAGAATGGATTTCCCCTTTAACAAAAGGGGGGGGGGGGTGATTGTCTTGATACTTGATACGTTACAAGATACCGGTACATACAATCCAATTCAACTTTAACCCTATCCTTACATCTTTGATGAAATAAAGCATGGAGCAAATCTCTCCGGAGCTCGGCAAGAGTCCGATCATCAGAAGGACATCAAATATGAAATAACACATGACTCATAACGTTTTAGTCTGAGGTTGAACATGAATTTATAAAGTGTCAAGGCAACTAATTCCACTGTGTGCTACTATGCAACCACTATATAGGCCCATTTACACAGCCTAAAACCATTTTGAAAAAAAAAAACATGTTTTTTTTTAAAATATTTTTTTTACTGCCATTTAAAAAAAAATCATAAAAAAAAAAAAAAAAAATCCATAAAAAAGTCAGTTTTTGATAATATGTAGATTTTTATCTATTGGCGAGTTGTGCGCATGCACTACTTGTCGCTGCCCTGCATGTTTTAGCACGGAAGCAAGGAGAGTCACGAACATTGGAACGATTCGCCAGTGTTTTGAGAGTGAGCATTTGCACTGCAAAAAACTGGTGAAATTTCTGCCAGCATTTCAAAAACCACAGAGAGGTGTGTTTTCTCCATTTGTTTTTCTCTTGTTGTGTTTATGGGTAGTTGATTATCAACTTGCGACTAAACACCGACATATGATGAGACTAACCAACCGTTTTTGCTTGCAGTGTGAATGCAGCTCATTACTATTTTTGCTACAATTTCGCAGAAAGTCGGTATTAGATATTGGCTGAGCGGTTGATTAGTGTCTGATTAACATCCAGGGTTAGTTCACTTTTATATTGTCCCATTCCCATGACTGATATTTGACTTTCCACGAATTGCGCAACTGAATTACCATGACAATTTACATCAGGATATACACACTGAGCGTACATATAATTTACCAAATATTATCTGCTTAAAAATGTGGTTCAAAAAATAAAAAAATTAAATACTAAAAATTGAATTTGAATTTCAGATGGCATCATAACTGATAACTTGACAATGGGCAGACTGTTAGATTTAAATCTGAAATCTATTCAGACATTCTGAACTGTACCTAACAAAAGATTTGGTAGAGTATGAGAGAAAGAGTGTTAAAGTAAATGAGAGAGGGAGCGAGAAAAGATAGGAGAGAATAATTTAAAAAAAGAGTGAGGAGTAGAGGAAATGGAAGTAAGAGAGAGAGAAAGAGAGAGGTGTGGAATGAAGAGAGGGAAAGGTGGGAGGGAAAGGAAGAAAGAAAAGAAAGGGAGGGAGAGGGTTAATTAGGAGAAAGTAAGGGGTAGATGGAGAGAAAAAGGAGAGGGGAAAGAAATGGACAGAGAAAACTCTCTTTTATATTAGTTCCCTTGCAATGCAGCCATTACAATTAATAAACAGAGACTCCTACAACAAAATCATGCTGTGTTGAATGTGTTAATACCGTGCTGTGCACACAAAGGAAGCAGCACCCCTTAAATTCTCTAGACACAATTTGTCAACATTAATAAGTTAACGATTCACAAGTAATTAGGGCCTGCAACACTGCATCGATCAATCACTGTACAGACATTGCAATATATTTATAGATGGTCTATCAACCTTGCAGAGAAATAGATGGGGAGAAATCCTCTCAAAAGTAAAAGACATTAATCCTTTCTTAAACGATAGGTGGTCTGATAATTAACCTTGCAGATAAAAAGAGGGGAGAAATCCTTCCCAAAAGTAAAAGACAAGAATCATTTCTTAAACGATAAGAGGTCTATTAAGTACTCTTAACCTTGCAGAGATATAGATGGGGAGAATTCCTCCCAAAAGTAAAAGCCATGATCATTTATTAATCAATAGGTGGTCTAATTTATTAACCTTACAGATAAATAGATGGGGGGAAATCCTCCATGTAAAATACAACAATTATTTCTTAAATACAAAATTTACATTAGGCCTGCCTTCATCAGCCCGAATTGGCCAAATAGCCCTCTATTTCTGATCCAGGAAATTAGCCAGATCATGAAATAGCAGACTATTTGCTCGGGAAATTCTCCCAAGATATCTTGAGCTACATTGTAGCTTGCAAAATAGCCCGCTATTTGAGGTCCGTCTACACTAGCTCGAAGACTCGCACTGATTTCTAAAGCTAATTTCTTGAGCTTTAGTTTCAAGCTTGATGAGGGCACGATTTGTAACTTCAGAATAAAAATAGCGGTCTTATACTGTTTTCACACTGGCAATATTTTGCTTAACCCCGTACTATAGGTGGGGTTAAGGGGGGTCTTAGCCCCACCTATAGTACAGGGTTAAGCCTATTTCACTTTCTGTTCAGACTGGTTTTAACCAAAGTGGGCTAAAGTTGGCTAACCCCACCTATACTACGGGGTTAACTAACCCTGCAAAATAGCAGGGCTAACTCCGCAATTGTGGTGCTAACTCCTGCTAACCCCGCAATTGCGGTGCTAAGCAAATGAATGAGAACAGAAACGAAAAATAGTCCGGTACTACGCAATGGAGCGTATCGCAGCTGACCAGATGCGAAGTATGTCCAATCATAACATTCACGATATCCGGGGTTAACGAAATGCAGTGAGAACAGCGGGAATTTTCTTATTCCGGAATAGGCGCTAGTACGGGACTAAAAACAGCGTGTGTGAAAAGCCAAAAAAAATAGTCCGGAGTTAAGGATAGTACGGGGCTAACCAAAGTACGGGGTTAAGCAAAACCAGTGTGAAAAGAGTATAATTGGCCAACTCGGGCTGATGAAATCAGGCCCATTATGTAAACTTGACAAATCTTATCTCATTAAAATCTTCCCCAGTTGCCTCTACCGCATGGAATCCAAGGATAAAAACAACACCCTAACAAACTATAGCGACCCCCAAACTCTGACAACTATTTCACATTAAGAGATCTAGCAATGCCCTTCTTTCTGAATTATCTTAAACTGACTGATTGCACAATTGTGAATCCCTGTTATATTCTTCACTAACATTATTTAAAGAGGTTCTATGGAT